AGGCCAACCTGGGCTTCTTAGTGAATGCCTTTTGTAGGAGAAGAGGTTGAAGGTAAAGCATAGAGGAAGAGCATCACCTCCTTTGAATAAGACCCTGAGTTGAGTCCCCACATCACCATCACTAAACACACACACACACACACACACACACACACACACACACACACACACTAACACACACACCTAACTGGCCTCCGCCTCCTGAGTGCCGGGACTAAAGGCAGTGTGTGGATAGATGTGTCTACCCTGCGGGTATGTGCATATGAGTGCAGGTGACAGGTCCCCTGGAGCCGGAATTTTAAACTGTGGTGAGCCACCTGATGTGGGTGCTGGGAACTGAACTCCAGTCCTCTGGAAGAGTGCCCTCGTGGTCCAGCTCAGATTTTTCAATTCATTCTTTTGTTTTGCAGAGCTGGAGAGGGAGCCAATGGCCTCAGATGTGCTAGGCTAGTGCGCTTCACTAGACCGTGCGGCCGGCCCAGCCCTGCTTACAGTTTTTAGTGTTCAATGAAATGGATTTTAGTGTGCTCAGTTCTGAAGACAGCACTGCAGGGAAGTTGAGAACCCCCTTAATAATAGTGGGCTCCCCTTTACCTAAACCTCCCCTAACTTCTCAACATAGGCAGCCTCTGATTTTTCAGGGGCTGCAGATCTGTGTATTCTGCTGCCTGTGACCTCTTGAAAAACTAGTCAGCCTCTTTGAGTATCAATTTCGTCTTCCATGAAACTAACATTATGAGCCCCTCACCCTGCAGGGCAGAGAGAGCCAATCTAATTGGTTCTTACTCCCTTTCATTGGGGCATTAAATTGCTGAAGTTTTTGTTTGTTTAGGGTTTGTGGGTTGTTTTTTGTTTCTTTGTTTTGTTTTCAAGACAAGGTTTCTCTGTATAGCTCAGGCTGTTTTGGAACTCATCCTGGAGACCAGGCTGGCCTCGAACTCACAGAGATCCGCCTGCCTCTGCCTCCCAAGTGCTGGGATAAAAGGCGTGAGCCACCACCGCCCAGCCACCTGGCTGTATCTGTGTTGTTTTAATAACATCCATGTTGAAGCCAAGCCCATCTTCATTGTATAATTTATTTTCTTTTTAATGATTTATTTCTTGTGTGCATTGGTATTTTGCCTCCACGTATGTCTGTGTGAGGGTATCAGATCCTCTGGAGCTGGAGTTAGACAGCTGTGAACTGTCATGTGGGTGCCGGGAACTGAACCTGAACTTTCTGAAGAGCAGTCAGTGCTCTTGACCGCTGAGGCAACTCTCCAGCCCCTTCACACCGTGATATCATGAAAATAGAGTCAAAGCATTGACATGAGGACCACCCATCCCACACCCTATATGGGAAGAAGCTGCTCACCTCTGAGTGGATGAGCAACAGTGACATCCTTCCCATGACTGGAGTAATAATGAAGGAACAGGTTCACTCAGTCGGGAATGTGAATGCCAGTAAGCTCAGGTCTTGGAAACTGAGACAGATGATTAAGAGTGTGAGAGTGGGCTGGAGAGATGGCTCGGTGGTTAAGAGCACTGCCTGCTCTTCCAAAGGTCCTGAGTTCAATTCCCAGCAACCACATGGTGGCTCACAACTATCTGTAATGGGGTCTGGTGCCCTCTTCTGGCCTGCAGGCATACACGCAGAAAGAATATTGTATACATAATAAATAAATAATTTAAAAAAAAAAAAAGTGTGAGAGTGACCTTAACTGCAGAATAAGTTCAAGCCAGCCTGGCTCTATGAGATTTGTCTCAAACCAAAACAAAACCAAAAAATTCAAGAAGGCCCGTAAATAATTTGTGAAAGCTCATCAGAGGGGACACTTCTTTAGACCCCAGCATCGGGCAGTGTGTGTGTGTGTGTGTGTGTGTGTGTGTGTGTGTGTGTGTGTGTGCTGAGGCATCTATGAGTTTGATGCCAGCCTCTTGTACATAGTAAACTCCAGGGTATCCAAGGCTATGGGATAAGACCCTCAAAAAAATCAATAAAAATAAAGATAATTTAACAAATAAAAGGAATTGCTGCCCAGGCTGACAGCCTGAGTGGGGGCCCCAGGACCCATCAGATGGAAAGAACTCCCTTTGACTCCTGCAGATTTTCCTCTAATCTCTGCACAAGTGATTGCACATATGCATCTGTACATAAACATGCGTACAAAACAAATAAATGGTACAAAATACTACTCATTTTCAAAAACAAATAGCAAAAGCTGAGCAGTGGAGACGCACGCCTTTAATCCTAGCAGAGGCAGAGACAGGCGGATCTCTGTGAGTTTGAGGCCAGCCTGGTCTACAGCCAAGGTCAAAGCTACACAAAGAAACCTTGTCCTGAAAAAAAAAAAAACCCACCATTGAGGATGATGTCCAGTATCGGCCTCTGGCCATGTGTATCCCTGTTTACCCACACACATGTGCACGCTCACTCATGTGTACACTACACACATTTACCCACATACATGTGCACGCTCACTCATGTGTACCCCTACACACATTTACACACCACATGTGCACTCTCACCCATGTGTACCCCTACACACATTTACACACACACATGTGCACTCTCACCCATGTGTACCCCTATACACATTTACCCACATACATGTGCACTCTATATACCTCACACATGTACACACATATAAACATGTACCTACACACAAATATATATACATAATACACTAAACAATAACAAAAACCCTAACTCCTACAAAAAATAAAACTGAAAAATAATAGAAACAGAACTAGTAACAAAATGGCTGTTTGTTGTGTTGTTTTAGTACTGAGGATCAAATCCAGGGTCTTATGCATCCTAAGCATGGTTTGCAATTGTTCTACATCTCCAGCCCCTCAAAATTAGTTATATCATTCTCCTCATACTAATTAAATTCAGTGGCTTCTTAGGATATTTCAGGACAGGGCTTCAGCTCTGAACTGGACAGTGAAGACCTCGAATACTCTGACCTTTTCCACTACAACCTGCTGTGGGGCAATGATCTTTTATCCTGTAAAGATGTTACTTGTATTTTAATAAATCACTGATTGGCTAGTGGCAGGGCAGAAAGTATAGGCAGGGCAACCAGAAAAGGAGAATTCCGGGAAGAGGAAAGGCTGAGTCTGCAGTCGTCACCCATATGCAGAGGAGGCAAGATATGACTGCCTCACTGATAAAAGGTACCAAGCCATGTGGCTAGCACAGACAAGAATTATGGGTTATTGTAAGTTATAAGAGTTAATAAGAAGCCCGAGCTAATAGACCAACCTGTTTATAATTAATGTAGACCTCTTTGTGTTTCTTTGGAATTGAACAACTGTGGGACCGGGCAGAACAAAAACCTCTATCAGCAACCAACAAAAATTTGTTCCATCAGGCACTCTGATCTACTTGGCTGTTTTGTATATTGTGTCCCTTGCTTCTGCCCCATGTCAGCCAGGCATAGTGTCCTTCAAGCTCCAGTGGAGTACCACCTGTTGGGCCAGCATGTTCTTATGTCTGAGCGCAATGTGGACAGCCTTCATCTGTGCTCTTAGCATATCATGCTTATATGGAAATGCTAACCCCTGATGTTGCAGAATAATCTTTTTGTATACCTGTTGCGGGAGGTCCTTCCACCCCTCCAACCAATAGCTGCTGTGATACCACCCCATTGGGGCGTGGTCTCTCTCCTTTAAAAAAGCGGCTATTTCCTCTGCTCGCTCTCTTCACTTCCTGCTCCGCTGGAGACTAGACTCCCTTCCTGGTTGTGCAGATGGCTGTTGTCTGGGACAGTAATCTGTAAGTTTTTTCCCCTTTAAATAAATCACACCCTATTAATCATAACTCCAAACTGGTGTGGCATTGTTCGTGACTTACACCTTCATATACCTTTTGTATACCCTGATTTACTGAACTCCATAAGTCTAATTCTAGAGCTGAATACTCTGAGTATCGTATAAAAAGGTTCGAAAGAAGCTGGGCGGTGGTGGCGCATGCCTTTAATCCCAGCACTTGGGAGGCAGAGGCAGGTGGATCTCTGTGAGTTCGAGACCAGCCTGGTCTACAAGAGCTAGTTCCAGGACAGGCTTCAAAACCACAGAGAAACCCTGTCTCGAAAAACCAAAAAGAAAAGGTTCAAATGAATGGCTTTAGTCTTTGTTGGGCTTGACTTCACCGTGAGTCAGCACTGCTTTAGATGCTGGGACCACAACACAACACTTCAGGGATGGGGTGGGTGTCAGAGGTACAGCACTGAAGTGTAAAGCCTGACCATCCATCCCTAGCACTGCAGAAACAAAGCCGAACAGAATACCAGACCAAGGTTCCTCGTGAATAAGTGAACAAATAAATAGCACATAAAAGAACTTGGAGAAAGAGGTACCTTGAGCATGGCAGTGACTGGAATCCTCACAAGGCTAGCAGACAGTAGAGGAAGTAAGACATTTTTCTCTTGATGTTAGTCTCTTTCTTTGAGACAGGGTTGAGTGTAGCCTAGGCTAGTTTAGACTCGCTTTGAAGGCAAGGCTGACCTTGAGCTTCTGAGTCCCCAGCTTTTACCTCCCCTGTGCTGGCATCTTCCCAGGGCTAAGATTACAGTAACTGTGTCCAGTTTTACTGGGTGCAGGAGATCAAATCCAGATTTCCCTGCATTCTGTGCAAGCAATCCAGCAAGTGAGCTGCAGCCCCTGCCCCCTTACCTTGCGCTTCAGTGAAAGACAGGTGAGATAAATTTACAACAAAGTGGGTTTTATTTCCCTGTAGAAGATTCTTTGGATAATTAGAATTGGTCAAATTAGACACTGGCTTGCTCAATCACGATGAAAGTCACCCAGGTGTGTCCTAGAAGGCATTCCTAGAGGGTGTGAGGCTGATCTTGTAGGCATCTAGACCGCGAAGTCAAAATACACGTCAAAATTTTACTGGGTGTCCCCTCCCCATGGCCACACTTGGCCCGGTGGCATTCTTTTCCACCCTCACACCTATTTCAATGATTTAATGCAGAACCCTGCTCCTTTCCACGGTCTTCTCTTATCACCAGCTCTATTGCTCATAAACTGGCCTAAAAGCCAACCCAGAGGCAGCCTGCATCGGCTCCTGGCCCAGCGCTAGCAAGCCATCCAGCGTCTATTCCAGGGACGACAAGAAAGAGACCGGTGGGTATTTCATCTGGGGATTGGAGTGACGCCACTTCCAGAGTGGGAAATCATCCTTTTCTCTCAAAGCAATCAATTCATTGGAAAATTCAACGAGGAGGAAGTTAATCTAGTATTCCTTAGTATATCATTTTCTAGTTCTTGTAGCTACTGAAAGGCAGGGTGACATAGAAAACTGCCCAAGTATTTGGTGACTGTAACAGCAGGCTGGGGTTCACTATGCCAAAGCCCAGATACCAGTGCATGGCAACCAATGAACCAGGCAAGGTTTCTTTCTTGTTTTCAAAATAAACAAAAAATACTCAATCACTGACATTGGTGAGTTCCCCGATAGACTTTTTTCCTACTATGACCCCTTTTAAATTGTATCTATCTATCTATCTATCTATCTATCTATCTATCTATCTATCTATCTATCTAATCTATCTATCTATCTAATCTATCTATCTATCTATCTATCTATCTTGGTTGCCCGTGCATCTGTGCACCACTTGCACACCTGGTGCCCTCAGAGGCCAGGAGAAGGCCCCTGGAAATGGAGTTACACACAGTTGTGAAGCTGCTGATTGGGTGCTGGGGTTGAAACCTGGTCCTCTGTAAGAGCAGTCGGTGCTCTTAATTGCGGGACCATCTCTCCAGCCCCCCCCCCCCCCCCCCGTTCTTTTTTTTTTTTTTTTTAAATGCTCCGAGATCCCCGCGGCAGTAGGCAGCAGAAATGCTGTAGGTCCCAAAAGGTGGTGGCGGGCCATGTGGTGGCAGGCAGCGGGCTCTGGGAGCAGCCAGTCCCAGGCAGAAATGGCTGCCAGTCCCAGAGCGGTGGCCTGAGCGGTGGTGGCGGGCAGGGCCGTGTGGCGGCAGACAGGAGGAAGATGGAAAAGCGAGCTAACTCAGGCCGGAAGCTGAAGATCAGCCTGCCTCAGCGGATGGGGGAGGGAGTAGGCGTGGCTTGTCTCTTAAAGGGACCAATACCATAACACCCCCCCCCTTTTTTTTTAAATCCCATTTGGAGCGCATACTCTATCTCTGCTCCACCTTCCTGGAGGACAACTTGTGGAAGTTGGTCAGTTCTCCCCTTCCAGGAATCAAACTCAGGTAATCAGACTTGATGAAAAGCATCTTTACCCACTGAGCCATCTCTCTGGTTTTTCTTTGTTTTGTTTTTATATTTTTTATTAATTCTTTGAAATTTTTTATACAGTGTACTTCAAATATATTCATGCCCTTTAACTTTCCCCCTTACAGCCTTTTCATATCTCCTGTCCGTTCTCATCCAACTTTGAGGTTGCTTCTTTTTTCTTCTTTCTCCATCAAGTCCAGTTTGCGCTGCCCAACTGGTCCTGGGATTGGGGCCCGCTCGGTGTGTGTCCACCAGGGGCACAGCATCAGAGAAAGCTGACTCTCCCAGCAGCTGGAAAATGCTAGCGGTGGGGTTGCACGCCCACCTTCTCGCGTCTCTGCTGGGACTCTGTCGGACTGAAGATTGTACATGTTTGGGGCATGTTGTCACAATCACTGTGAGTTCATGTGTACATATCATGTCGTGTCTGGAAAACAGTTCCCTAAAGATTACCACCATCCCAGGCTTTCACAGCCTTGCTGCCCCTTCTTGGGGTATGGTATGAATGTCTGCCTTAGGAATGAGCATGGTCTTTTGAGGGGTCCCAGCTGACTGTTATCTGCTGCATGGGGTTTTCTTATGGGTTTGGTTTCGTTTGAGACATGGTCTTGTCTATTCCTTGGAATTCTCCTGACCTCGGAATTTGATAGGTAGCTGAAGATGTCCTTGAACTTCGATCCTCCTGTCTCTGTCTCCTGAGTACTGGGATTACAGGCCTGCACCTACCTGCACTTTGGGCTTTTTTCTATTATATTACTAGTTGAGCCAATGAACTCCTGGATATAAAGAGAAAATTAGGGCCGGGTGGTGGTGGCGCACGCCCTTAATCCCAGCACTCGGGAGGCAGAGGCAGGCGGATCTCTGTGAGTTCGAGGCCAGCCTGGTCTACAAGAGCTAGTTCCAGGACAGGAACCAAAAACTACCGAGAAACCCTGTCTCAAAAAAAAAAAAAAAAAATTAGGATGGGAGACCTAGAGATGTCGAGTCTAAATCCTAGCTTTTCCACAGAAAAGAGCAAGAAATGCTTACCAGGGCTTGTGGGGCGAGACACAGGTGTAGTATGTTTCATCCTCAGAACTACCCAGGATGAGAACAATGCTGAGCAGTTTTGCAGGCCTTTCTCATTCACTCAGCCTGTGGGCTTCAGCTAGAGCTATCGTAGAGGAGCGGTGATTTTTCACTTTTAGTCTGTTGGATTACCACTGATGACCCGACCAGTACCTTCCGTGGATGACGAGGTAACTACAAAGGCCAGGAAGGATTGCCACCAGGCAATGCGACTCTGTGCCAAAAGCTCTGGGGGTTGAGATATATACAGATACTCTGCCTTAATGAATAAATTAGTGGTATTGTTTTACTTATTTTTATGTGTGAGTTTTTGACTGCCTGTATATATGTCTACCAGAACGCCAGAATAAGGCTTAGAATCTCCTGGAACTGGAATTAGAGGCCATCCTGAGCCACCATGATGTGCTGGGACTCAAACCTACATGCTCCACAAGAGCAACAGATGTTCTTAATCACCGAGCAATCTCTCTAGCCCCACCAATATATTTTTTTTACAGTTCACCATGCAACCTTTACCTGGAATTAGGTTTCGAATGTGTGCATGGGATGTGTTCTACAGGATGAGGATGAGCTAGCACTGTTTCTCAATTGCTGTGTGCTAGCCTGGCATGCTCAATGTTCTGGATTCCATCACCAGCACTTGGGGCAGGGGGGGCGAGGGGGGGGGCAAAGGGATGGGGGGGGATGGACACGTGGGAGAAAACCAAAGAGACAAAATTGGCACCCAAAACAGAGATACTTTCAGAGTTCCTAACGTTAGTAGCAAGTATGAAGTCTGAAATTTTCTGTTTTACAACATTAATTAAAACATTTGATAATTATGTTCCAGGTGGTGGTGATGCATGCTTTTAATTCCAGCACTTGGGAAAAAGAAGCAGGCAAATCTCTGACTTCAAGGCCAGCCTGGGCTCCAGAGCAAGTTCCAGGACAGCCAGGACTGCGCACAGAAACTCTGTCTCAGAAAAACAAAACAACAACAACAAAAAATTTGATAACTACTACTGTTTGCCTCTGCAGGGAGAGGACATCATATCAGAATCTCTTTAGGTCTACCATATTAGCGAATGCTCACACTATGATATCCGGAAACAACAACAACAACTAATAATGATGATGATGATGATATGAAATAAAAAATAAAAATAATGAAGTTTGGGGGCTGGAGTGATGGCCTGGGGGTAAGAGCACTGCGGCTTTTGCAGAGGACAGGGGTTCAGTTTCTAGCGTTCACATAATAGCTTCTGCCCATCCAGTTTCAGGGAATCTAATTCCCTCTGTTGGCCTGCACACAGTACACATATATACATGTAGTTAAACACTCATACCCGTAAAATAAAAATAAATTAGAAAAGAAGAGATGGCTCAGCAACTAAAAAATGTATATTACTCTTTCAGAGGCCCAGAGTTCCAGGCCTAGCACCTTTGCGGGTGGCTCACAACTATCTGCAACTCAAACTCTAGGGCAGTGATTCTCAATGCTGTGACCCTTTAACAGAGTTCCTCATGCTGCGGTGACCCCCAACAATAAAATTATTTTCATTGCTGCTTCATGACTGTAATTTTGCTACTGTTATGAATTGAGATGTAGGGGGCTGGAGAGATGGCTCAGTGGTTAAGAGCACTGGCTGTTCTTTCAGAGGACCCGATTCAATTCCCAGCACCCACAAGGCAGTTCACAACTGTCTGTAACTCCAGTTCCAGGCCCCCTGACACCTGTGGCAAAACACCAATGCACATAAAATGAAAACAAATAAACGGATCATGATGTAAATATCTGATATGTGATCCTTGTGAAAGGGTGGGGCCCCACAGGTCAAGGACCGCTGCTCTAGGGGTCTGACACTTCTGCTCTCTGGGGGCACACGCGCAGCACAAACCACACAGACCATATGCATAATTTTTAAAAAATTTTTTATTTATACAGTGTTCTGTCTGCATGCCAGAAGAGGGAACCAGATCAAATTACAGATGGTTGTGAGCCACCGTGTGGTTGCTGGGAATTGAACTCAGGACTCTGGAAGAGCAGCCAGTGCTCTTAACCTCTGAGCCACCTCTCCAGCCCCCATACGCATAATTTTTAAAGGTAAATGTTTAAACCAGGATTGGGCAGATCTCTGAGTTCGAGGCCGGGCTGGTCTACAGAAGTGAGCTCCAGGACAGCCAGGGCTACAAAAAGAAATCCTGTCTCAAAAATAAGCTAAACGATTATTTAGAAAAATGAAATATTAATTCTTTTTATATGATCTGAAGAGTAAAGTATTTGCCTAGCACACACATACAAGGTCCTGGGATCAAACCCTACCACTGAAAAAACAATTATCTCATGTGTTTCACTAACAATTGTTCCTCTTTTGCGGTTTTTTTTTCAGCGATAAAACATTGGCCGAAAACAATTGGGGGGGTTGGGGGATGGGGGGTTCAGTGATAAAACGTTGGCCAAAAACAATTGGGGGGGGGTACTTATTTGCTTCACAGGTTATTGAGGGAAGTCAAGCAGGGAAGCCTGGGGCAGGAGCTGACACACATTTCAAAGAGGAAGATTGTTTACTGACTTACTCCCCAGGGCTTTCTCAAATTGTTTCCACCTGGCTGTCCTGGAACTAGCTCTTGTAGACCAGGCTGGCCTCGAACTCACAGAGACCTGTGCCTGGGATTAAAAGTGTGCACCACCGCCAGGCGGTGGTGGCACACGCCTTTAATCCCAGCACTCGGGAGGCAGAGGCAGGCGGATCTCTGTGAGTTCAAAGCCAGCCTGGTCTACAAGAGCTAGTTCCAGGACAGGAACCAAAAGCTACGGAGAAACCCTGTCTCAAAAATCCAAAAAAAAAAAGAAAAAAGTGTGCACCACCACCACCAGGCTACTCAGCTTTCTTTCTTTCTTTCTTTCTTTCTTTTTTTTTTTTTTTTAAAGGCGGGCACCACCACCGCCCAGCGACTCAGCTTGCTTTCTTTATACAACCCAGACTACTAGCTCACCCACATCAACCATTGATCAAGAAAATGGCCCCAGCTAGTCATAGGGTTGCTTGTCTTTAATCCCAGCACTCGAGAGGCAGAGGCAGGAGGATCTCTGTGAGTTTGAGACCAGTCTGGTCTATAGAGAGAGTTCAAGGCCAGTCAGAATTACATAGAGAGACAATGTCTTAGAAAGAAAGGAAGGAAAGAAGGAAGGAAAAAAGGTTTACCTATAGGCCAGTCTGGTAGAAGAAATCCCTCAGTTCAAGGTGTCTCTTTCTAGGTGACTAAGTTTGTGTCAGGTTGAGAGATATTAACCAGCACAAATTGTAAAGGCAAATAAATTGGTGAATAATGGTGGTATTAATTATTGAGAAACTGCAATATAACATCTAAGCCCACATTTAGTGCTAAACCTATAATTAGAACCCCTATTTTCTCTCTGTCTTTTTTTTTTTTTTTTTTTTTTTGAGACAGGGTCTCAAGCAGCCAAGACTACCCTTGAATTTATTATATAAGAAAGGTGAGCTTCTCATCTTACCTCCACCACCAGGTTTTACAGGATGCTGGCACATTTGGCTTGAGGCAGTGTGTGTGGGGAGTGGGGGTACTACCACACTGATCTTGTTTTTCTTAGGATGGTCTTTTTGTTTGTTTTCTGTTTTTTGAGATAGGGTTTCTCTGTGTAGTACTGGCTGTTGTGGAACTCACTTGCTCAGGAAACCAGGCTGGGCTAGAACTCACAGAGATCACCTACCTCTGCCTCCCCAGTGATGGGATTAAAAGCATGTGCCACCACCACCCAGTTCCCTAGGCTGATCTTAAATTTGTGTAAATATCACTCTAAGGTTAAAAATTGTTTTCCAGATTATCAGTGTTGAATTCAGTGAAAATATACACACACCTTTCTTCTTCCTTTTTTTTTCTTTTAAATAGGTTATTGTTGGGCAATGGTGGTGCATGCCTTTAATCCTAGCACTCCAAGGCTGAGGCAGATAGAACTCTGTGAGTTCGAGGCTAGCTTGGTCTACAGAGCGAGTTTCATGAGAATCATAGCTACACAGAGAAACCCTGTCTCAAACAATAAAATAGGGTCTTATACTGCCAAGGCTAGTCTTGAATTCCTGATCCTTCAGCCTCTACCTCCCAAGTACTGACATGTGCTAACATTCCTGGTTTAAGTTTTTGTTTGTTTGATTTTTCAGTTTTCTTTGTGTGTGTGTGTAGGGGGGCGGGCATGCAGGGCTTCACCATGTAGGCTTGCCCGACCTGGAGCTTGCTATATAAGCAGAATTTTCTACTTAAATGTAGAACATTTTTCAGTGTTGAATAAAATGAATCTGAAGCAACTTGAGCCTAGCTAAGGAATTTCAGGCCAAATGTATATGACCCTGGACACTTCTCCAACTAAAGTAATGTGAGTTTTAAATTGGCCTCAACTGTATCTGGTCTCTTTGCCTCTGTTTCCCAAGTGCTGAAAATAAAGGAATACACCATCACGTTCATTTTTTTCAATGCTTTTACTTCTTTGCATTTGTGTGTGTACATGTTTACTTGGGGGCTGTACTTGTACCATGTGTGTGGAAGTTGACACCATGCCTGGCTCTAACGTGGGTGCTACGTGGGTGCTGGGTATCAAACTCAGGTGCTCAGATTGGATCAGATTGGAGTATTGAGCTCTTCAGCAGCTTTACCAGCTGAACCCTCTCATCCAGCCCATATTCTTCTTCTTCTTCTTCTTCTTCTTCTTCTTCTTCTTCTTCTTCTTCTTCTTCTTCTTCTTCTTCTTCTTCTTCTTCTTCTTCTTCTCCTTCTCCTTCTCCTTCTCCTCCTCCTCCTCCTCCTCCTCCTCCTCCTCCTCCTCCTCCTCCTCCTCCTCCTCCTCTTCTTCTCCCTCTCCCTCTCCCTCTCCCTCTCCTTCTCCTTCTCCTTTTCTTGCTTTTATTTCTTTAAGACGTTTCTCTGTGTAGCTCTGACTGTCCTGGAACTCACTCTGTAGACCAGGCTGGTCACAAACTCAGAGATCTGTCTGCCTCTGCCTCTGCCTCCTGAGTGTTGAGATCAAATGCATGGACCACTGGCCAGCTCTGACCTCTGTTTGAAAGTTCTAACAGTCAAATGGATTTCTCACCAATTCTGACTCATCTCTGGGGGCTGGAGAGATGGAGAGAGTAGCAAGGTTAAGAGTCCTTGCTACTCTGCCAAGGAAGTAGAGCGGAAGTTCTCAACCTGCGGGTGATGACCCTTTCACAGGGGTCTCCTAACATCATTAAACACAGATGCTTACATTATATTTCCTAATAGTAGCAAACTCATAGTTACCATGTAGCAACGAAAATAATCTTATGGTTGGGGGGTCACTACAACATGAGGAATTATATAAAAGGGCCTCAGTATTTGGAAGGTTGAGAACACTGGATTAGAAAGATGGCTTAGTGGTGAAGAGAGTTTACTGCCATATCAGAGACTCGGTTTCAGTTCCCAGCACCCACACTCTGTGGCTCCTAACTGCATGGCTCCACAGGCACCTCCACACGTGTCAGACACTCTTACAAACATGCATGTTAGGCATAGATGCATAAAATAAAATAAGTCCTCATCTTTCTCAAGCCAGTTTCCTCTAAACCTTCCAGCTCACTCCAGTCTCCTGAACTCACACCCGGAAGGAGCAATTAGATTAGACCTACTCCCCCTTCCTCCACTTTTTGTTTTTTTTTTAGATAGGTTCCTACCACATAACCCAAACTGTCCTGGAACTTGAGATCCTCCTGCCTTAACTTCACAATTGCCTCGATTACAGGCATGCAACCGTATCCAGTTTCCGAAGTGATGGAGACTGAATTGAGGGCCATGTCCATGTTAAGTAAGCATTATACCAACTGAACTACATCCCCAACATGGGACTAGATTATTTCTTCAGGACTGTAAATACTACAGACACTGGAGTACACTTGGAGTTCACACTACACTACCAACGTACTATTTATCAATTTAATTAGAAACTTCTCTAGGCCAGATGCAGAATTTTCTACCTAAATGTACATTTCAGTCTTGAATGAAATGCATCAGAAGCAACTTGGGCCTGGTTAAGGAGTTTGAGGACAAATGTATACGACCCTGGACCCTTCGTCAGCCAAAGTAACGTGACCTTTAAACTGAGTAGGGGTGATCTGAGGCCAAAGGAATGACACAAGG